AAGTAGCAGAATCAAACTGACTTAAAAGGAGTCTTTTTGCCAATACTACCAATACTTCCCAACAGAATTTTGTCAGAAACTGCAGAAAACTTACATTTATATTTCAATGGTTAATGTATTCCCAAGTCAGGCGCTCCAGTTACACCCTGGCCACTGCCACCAGGAGATGGGGCAGCTTTCACTCCCAACAGTTTAGGAAAACCCAGCGCCTCTCCTTCCAGTGGAAGCCAAGGAATGTCTGTAACAAAATGTCGAATGTAGTCCAACCTTCTGTTTAGGCTTTTATCATGCAAGTAAATATTTTTAGAAATAACTATTCCTTTAGGGAAACCAGCACTCAGGAAAGGTTGAATCTATATCTTTTCAAGTTGGATAAACTTGAAAGCATTTAAGTTTACCAAAAGATTCATCCTGTGAGTCCTAAAACCAATTCTTTCCATAATTCAATTAAACTATTTTAATGTATAACAGTTCTTTTTATAAACATCAATATAGAAACTCAATAATCTTATAAGACAAGGTGTAGATAAAGAAGCTTCCTTTGTATTAAAAAAGATTTAATACATGGGTATATATACAGTTAATATGCAATCTGGATAGCCAATCAATTGATTTATTTGACATGACCTAAAATGATAAACCTACGGTAAGCATCCTAGAGTTTATCTTTAGCTCATAATTTTCCTTTCTCGAAGAATTAAGTGACTTCTAGCCCCTTAAAATATTATAATTTGTTGTTTTTGCAAAATTTCCATAGGCAGAGAAGAATGGAGGAAAGAAATAAATGGTTCTCAGAGCTTCTTTGGATTAAAGGGTCTAAAGCCAGGAGCAGCATACCAAGTTCAAGTTGGTGCCGAGGAGGGCTCTGGTTTTGTGAGTTCAGAGGATGTGTTTGATACTGGCTCAGGGCAGGAATACAGCGCCACTTCTGGCTCCAGTCTGAGGTGAAGCCCCCACCAACCACTCTAGTGGGAGATGGGGACTAGTGGTCCTATGAAGTGAGCAGTGTTATTACCCACTTATACATCATGTCAATGACGGAATGATAGGTGGAGTACCTGCCTTCACCCAGCTAGAACATGGGAGAACTGGGGTTTGAGGCTTAGCCTTCTAACACTAGAGGAGAGGCTTTCATTACACCTCCATATGGGGTCACAGAAGCCTGCACCCCGAGGGGAACAGGTGGTCTCAGAAATGACTGCTCAGTCTTTCCAGCTATTATGGACCCCTAATGGCTCCAGTGCATTCCCAGCTTGAAGGTCTAGATAGAATTAGTTTCCACCCACAAAATCAAAATATGGCAAACCCTTTAGAAAAATCGTCTTCCGTATTGCTATAACTACAAGTCCAGCTGCAGCTGACAGGTGGTTCAAGGTGAGTACTCACAATGGGTGGCCCATTCTTGCGTGCCAGTGATGGAGAAACAGGACAAGGCCACAACCAATTATTCTCACCTTTTACCTTTAACCATTAAAAAGAACACATATTGATACTCCCTTGTTCTCCCAGTTTCATCGCTCTACCCTGTAGGGCTTCTGGGTTAACTCCAGTGTGAAAGAAAGCCTTCTATTGCTCTGGCTTCTCCTCTCCTCCACGCTAGGTTTTGAGATGTGAATGTTAGTACTGGGCATGGAGGCATGCCACTCGGGCCGATGTTGTAACTTTCTGCATTAATGAGCTGCTGCTGAGTTCTGCTAATTTCAGGAACCCAGGCTCAACTTTTCATCTACGCTTGACTCATGAATCTTCTTAACATGACACCATCTCTGCTTTTGATAGTCTGGATTTTTAAGAGCTACTTCTTCATTTTTTCCTAAGGCACAAACTGAAAAACAAATCAAACAAGACTCCTCTCCTTGCTTTCTCACCTCTTTCGCTCAACTACCTGGTGTCTTCTTCTCTCACATCACAAAGGATTTAAAGCAGATACGTTTTTCCTGAGCCCTGTCAGCTGCCTCCAAACTTTGGCCAAGGAAATTTTTTCCCCTTTCTATACATTTCTAACTATTTTAACAAAACAGGACATTTTTTTTATATAATGGCTTTTTTATCAATAGCCATTTATCCCACTGTCTCTTCCTTGTTTATTTTATTATTCTAAGTACTCAAGAGCATTTTCTTCAGATACCTACTACCCCAGAGCACAGATTATCCATGAGACAACAAGTAATGCAATAGCAGAAGACAGTTGTTAAAACTAACTCCAGGAAACAAAGCAAATTTCATTCTTCTGGCTTATTTTCTCTTTTCATATTTTTTATATTTGCCTATTTGTTAAATTGGAAGTCCTCTTTCCCTCTTCCACCCAATCCTACTAATACCCACCCATTGAAATTCAGATTCCACAGGAAAAGCCCCACAGGCTTCATTTTGTGTGTGTGTGTGTGTGTGTGTGTGTGTTACACACAATGGTGGCCTTGATTTGGGTTTGTGTATACATCTGTAGTTAAGATGATTTTATATAAAGTTTCCTGGGAAGACTTAAAGCTTTTATAGTCATTCTGGGCTTTAGAGCTTTCCTTATATGGGTGCGGAGTCAATAGAAGTTATTTTCACTTACATAATTTTTGTTTTATATCAACCTCTGGTGCACTTATGTGTGTGTTGTGTGTGTGAGTATGCACACACATTTACCTGTTAATATTCTGTCTGCCTAATTTTAAATAATGTGGTAGTGAAATAGTTTGATACCTTTTTCTTTAGACATAGAGATAAAAATTCAAAGTCAATATGGATGTTCCTTTGTCAACTGTCAAAGAAACATTACCACTTTTTGCATAGTTGCAAGCCGCCATTGGACAGTTCAGTTTTGACCATCACCATCTTTATAAGACAACATCTGTGCTAGTTTTTGAGTATCTTATTGCATTTTGCCCTTATCAGTTGTGTTTAATTAGAGAAAAAAATGTAAACGCAGTATTTATGGCAAGGCTGTAAACCATACTAAAGAACATGTAAAGCATACTAAAAAACAAAGACTCTTTCACGTCTATCAAATGCTCAGGAGACTTAACACCGGTTGGTTGTTATCGGTCATTTTAAAGAAAAAGTGCACAAAGACCACGTGAGAATTGATAGAAACACATTGCAAAAGAGTATGTAATGATGGGCTTTTAAAACATTTTCACCTGTCTCAGAATGGAAAGTCCCTATAATATTTTATTCTGTGTAAACACTTCTGTAGATCCGATGTCTGGACATGTTTTCAGGAGTGCATTATGGCTATAGCATAATGGCTACTACCATGTACCCTGGCGTCAGGCAGACTTGGGTCAGACCCCAGCTCCTGGGCAAGTTCTTTACCCTCTGTGGGCGTGGATTTATTTTTCATGCTTACCTCAAAGGGTGGTTGTGAAGATTAAATGAGATTTTGCTCCCAGCATGGTGTCTTGTAGGTAGTACGAGTTTCAGTGTGTAAGCTCTCATTATGACTGTCTGCACCTTCATCATCATCATCATCATGGTTATGGTGCGTGTATGGCCTTGGCGCACGGTGCTTCAGTTGTATCAAGTTACGATAAAACTCAGAACCCCTCTGACCAATGAAGCACAAGGGACTGTTGGGGAAAGGCTACTGGCATTTGGTTTGTATTCCAGATAATGTATTTTCCTTCTCATTTTATTTCTTAAACACACATCCACACGTTTTTGACATTTCTCTTCACATTTGGCTTTAAGCATTTCATTTTTCTCCCTACACTTTGTTTGGGGGAAAAGGCAATGAAGTGCTATTTTTGCACATATATCAGAACTTGGGATACAGGTAGCCATGCTTATTTCTGCACCCTGAGATCACATACACCTAACCCAACAATGTTAAATATATTCAGAAGAAATTCAGTCAAATTAAAAGCATGACATAGGCATGCTTGTCAATCAAAAGAAGAAAACCTTTTATCTTGATTATGGTCAAAAAAAGAAAATAAAGAGCTTTTTTAAAAAAGATTCATACCAATCTATTTAAACAAATTCTCATAGGTATGTCTGAATAGCCATTGATGCTGCACTTTGTCCCATTTGATTGACACTTTTGGATAATACTAGAAATGTTCATTATTCTGTTTTTCATAGGAGATTTGCACACTGACTGATTGGAAAAGGGGCCTCGCATTTATTGACTCAAACAGAATAGATGAAGACTTAAAGAATATGTATACATGTAAATGGGTATTTTCTCTTTAAACTGGTCCCTTATTCCAATAATGATGCCACTGATCAAAATATATTTCAAAGTCTTTTGAATGGATCCTAGGCAATATTGAATATTGATCTTTTGAGAGTAAATTGGATTTTTCAGAAATATGCAAAAGTTATTCAGAACCAACTCTTGTAAATGAGATGAATAACAAATGTAAGTAATATTTTGGGTGAAAATTGAGATATAAAAATAATAAGGCTGGTTATCTGATATGGACAGTTTTCATGTGTGGAAAGTTTTCTTGTTTAACAGATTTCCAAAACCTTTTGAAAAATGACAGCATCATTGCAATGATATTTTAGCCTCCAAAGTGGTTCCTTCAAAGGAAAAATACTCCATTAGATGTATACAATCTGTTCTGTTTAAAATTCAGTCATATTCTTATCATTGTGCTTAATGAACAGTTTATCTTATAAACAGTAAATTTGTTCATTGGTTTGGGACTATGTTTCTATGGAGACTATATAGTTAAAATAACTGAACACAATGTTCGGCAGGGTTTATTAGCACTTAATGATATTAGCATTCAGATTTCTCTATTTGAATTGTTTTAATGAATGAAAATTTTTCAAAGTTATGTATTTATATAACCCCTGATTAGTAACTGGCAGATTCCAATTTGGGGCCACGTGTAAAATATAGAACAGCTCATATACTATGGCAATTTTTATACAAGAGACAACAACAGTTCCCATCTCCCCCTGAACCCATTCCCACCAACACCACTGCTTTGTTTTTCAGCAATGGCGAGCCGACAGGTGGACATCGCAACTCAGGGCTGGTTCATTGGCCTCATGTGTGCTGTTGCCCTCCTTATCTTAATCTTGCTGATCGTTTGCTTCATCAGAAGGAACAAGGGTGGTAAATACCCAGGTAAGAAAGAAAGATTAAAATTGCCTTATAATGCTGCATAATTATCCATTGAAGTAAAAAGAAATCACAAGGTTAATCATGTAGATTGCAATAAGTATATCTTCCCAGAGCTTTAAATTGGGATTTTCTGTTCAGACAATTGTTGATCTTTTTTATATAATGGGTTCCTAAACATTATTCAGGATCAGAAACATTTGGGAGAGTAAATTAATCTGTTGTCTGAAGATGTTAGTGACTCCACTTCCTTAGGCTCCACGTAGGTCATAAATGCTGAAAGAGCCCTCCACAACCAACAGGCAGGGGGAAGGTACATGAGGCCTTCCGGAGGCAGTCATGCATGAACTGAGTCTTTGCATCATGCTATGTGACACTGCTTCCTCACATGGCTCATGTTCTACAACCCATAAGTGTATAGAAGTGTTTTCTGCCGCTGTGCATCTCAAAAAGGTGTGCTTTGAAAAACTTTGAATAAGGAGGTACAGGATCAACGATAACAATGTTGTTTTGAACTTTTTAGTTAAAGAAAAGGAAGATGCCCATGCTGATCCCGAAATCCAGCCCATGAAGGAAGACGACGGCACTTTTGGAGAATACAGGTAAACCTCTGCTTCTCCCCACCTCTCAGCTCCCTGCCCTGCACAGACGCAACACTCCATGTCCCAGGATAGTATCCTGCCAGGACATGCTCCGCCTGGTGGTTCAGATTTCCTCAAATATTGGTTTAGAAGCACTTCCATGTGTAAATGTTTACACATGCCTCACAGTTAAAATATCCTCACTTCTCCTAAAGAATAAATTTCCATTTTAGTCATAGGTTTGGAAACGGAGTGGCCTGCACTCTGCAAAATTATCCAGCGCTCCTTGTTGTATGGATCGACCCCACAAAGCTGGTGTATTACAATAAGAGTTAAAAAAACATGAAAGACCCTGCAGACCTGCATTGTAAAGGAAACTATACCTGTCATCTTCTAAACAATGCTTTTAAAAATCAGTGTTACTCTTTTCAGTCTTGGATTTAAGACTTGTTTTTCCAAAACAAATACCTATAACTCTGCCTGTTAATCATGAAATGATGACGAATTTGTTTTAGAGGCTGTTAATTATTAAGAAATATGACAGCCCTGGAGACAGGGTGTTAACTCACAGAAATTTGATAATACATTCTTGGCTTGGCTGCATCATTTAGGACAAATTTTAACGTAAACTAAGTGCTAAATAGTCAAAGGAAGGAAGAGAGGCAGGGAGGGAAGGAGGGAGGGAGGGAGGAAGGAAGGAAGGAAGGAAGGAAGGAAGGAAGGAAGGAAGGAAGGAAGGAATGGCTTTTAGGTGAAATAAAATATTTCATTACTGTGATTTCCAGATGACATTTGTAGACAAGATATTTGTGTTACTTTTTACCTGTCTCTAGAGCTCATTTTTGGCATTTCCACGTCAACATCACGAGGGGAGAAACAATGCCAAGGATAAGAAATATGAGGACTGATTGAGAAAAACTATATTTTTGACAATTGGTTTTGAACCAGTTTTCATGCAGATACAAATGTTTTGTTGCATTTGTATCTCAGCTCTTAAGCTTTTATATTCTGATCTCTTTGATTTCTAAGACTTCTCAGAATTTCTGTATCTCATGATATAGAGAAACGTCTAGCGAGGGTTGTCTTGATGTCAAATGTTGCCTCTGGGACTGAAAGTTTGTGAGCACTTCATGCAGCGCCCCATCCCCCACCCCCAGTCCACCCGAAGGTTTGCATAACAGTCAGAGCAGCCTGCCCATGGCCACAGCTGAGCGTAGCCAGGTCTTACACCAGATGAGTAGAAATCTTTCCTGACTTAACTCACTCTTCTGCATGTTTCTCCTGTCAAACAGGTGAGCTGAGCATTACTAGAGTTCTTGTGGCTAGAATTCTATACAGGATATGCATACCATTCCGTTATTTATTATGATGAAGTTAAACCTCTAATATAGCCTGAAAAAATTATGTGTTTGCATGAATTGAAAATACACCATTGCATGTCATACATTCTTCACATGGTGATGGATTTCTGGTCTGCCTTATTGTGCTTATGTGCATCTGGCAATGTACTGCTCATTGTGTGGCGCTCAAACATCAGTCTGCTGCTAGAGTGAAGTGAGCCATGATCTGATGTAATGGGACTTTCTCAGAGTAATTAGGCTGCCTACTCCATTAAAACTTGACTGAAATGGAGGGCAAATGAATGTGGACTAGCTTGGAATCAAGAGACTGTTAGTTTTATTGTCAACTAGGTCATTACCCTTGATTTCTTTAGATATCTCTTAATTTGTCTAGATCTCAATTTTTTTCATTCATAAAATGATACAGTTATTCAAGTATTAGATGATCGCTAAAAGTTTCTAGTTCTATGATTTTTCTGCTCCTCTATGAGCTATCTACCAACAACTTTTAATGTGATTTTGGGTTCCAGAGCTGTACATAGCAAGTTATTTGGTTACTGGCCTCATTATCACTGTGCTTACAAATGTCACATGTCTTTGTCTTGGTGTTAATTCATATATGATATGTTTGTGAAGCGTTTTCAAATGGCTGTCTTTAGCTTATGCCTTGAGTTTCTCAGAAGAGAAAGACTTTTCATTGGGCCTATTGAGTACAAGCCCATCGGTTCACGTGTGAAGACAAAAAAACTCGTCACACGCGTGACTACATTTATCTGGGAGTTGCCAAGGGAAATAAGGTTCTGACGGGTGTCTTAGACATGAAACGCAACTCAGTGATTTTTCTTTTACTGACACTCAAAGTTCATAAAGACAAGCTGACAAGTGAAATTACTTCCCCAAACACCCTGCCACCCACTGCTAAAGATGTGACTTCGTCCTGTGACTTTCTGACACTACCTCAGAATGTTTTCCCTTTGGTTTCTTTCCTACTTAAAAAAAAAACAAAAGACCTTTAGTTTCTTAGATGTCACAATTAATGAAAACGGTTCCAACTGTTTATTACAGAAATTTTTTTTAATAATATATTTAAGTGTCATTCTCCTCCCTAAATCACCAGGGTCCCCTCTCTGCTTTGCACCTTTTGGGAGTTTTGAGCTCTGTATTATTTAGTGAGTCTTATTATATTTCATTGTGAAAATAAATCAGTATGCTGATCACACACAAAATTAGGGCTATTATCTATGTAAACTAATTCTGTTTATGATTTGAGGATGAAACAGTTTCTACATGGTTGGCTGTGAGACAGAGAATTTTTCATAGTGCAAAGAGGGATGGAACTTCAGTGGCCAAATTTGATTTTGTTTTTTCATATGCTGTAACCTTGTGTCCTCACTACAGCACCCACCCCCAAGCAGTTCCCCTCTGGCGGAAGCCTGCAGCTTTCTTTGTTTGTTTCTTTAATTACACAGACAATAGGATCTGCATCCTTACTAGCATATAGAAAAATCAGAGAAACAGTGCAACCAGCCGTGTAAGTATTTTTTTTATTCTTTAGATCCATTCTACTAAAAAGCAGAACCTAGGACATAAACCATGTGGCCATGGTACTTGAACTCTAGTGTAAATGTAGGCTCTTGGCACGAGAATCATGTCATTCATGTGAACATGGTCCTGGTGCACGCTGCTAACCCATGCTCACAAGGCTTGAATGATAGGAAGATGTGTCACATTCATTACATACTTTAGATTTATTCCACTCACAAACACAAACCAGTGTGTGAGCAGCATAAATAACGACAGACTTTTAGAGAGGGTGTTTGGAAAGAATGTTTGGGTCATGAATGTCAATAAAACTGCAGCATGGTTTAGCCATGGTAGGGTGGTGACCACAGGAAAATTAGACCGAATGATCACAATTTATCCATTGTTGCTAAATTTTACTCAGTACAGGTGTCTTCTGTGTACAAAACCCTGAAGTGCTTTTGGAAAAAAAAAAATGAACTCCCTAAAATGCATTCTTAGGGTAAGAGAAAGGAAAGAATATATTACAATGCTTTGTCTGACATTCTAAAATTAAGAAGTAATGACAATTTTTTAATGTTAGAATTCTGAATGGTTTCTAATATGCTTAGTGTCTCTTCTATTGTTATTTTACAATGAATTCGTTCAACCAGTACTTACTGAATGCTTACTGTATGCCAGGCTGTGGAGATATTAAGACCAATAGGACGTTATCTCGCTGGCTTATAGTCTAGTGAGGGATGCCGGGAAATAAAAGAACCATCTGAGCATAGTGTGAAAAGTGCTATGAAAGGGACAAAACTATGGTGCCACGGAAGCAGGAGCACAAAGCCAAAGCCAAGTGGGTGGCAAAGGAGGACGTGGTACAGGGAGTCTTCCCAGAGGAAGTCGCGCAGGGACTGAATTTTGATATTGTGATGTAAACATTTCTTTCCACTGCACAACCGTCTTTATTCATGGATATAAGTATCGAAAGTATATTTTATGGCGCTATGTTACTATCTTACGATTATTTGATGACTTATTTTGAAATTTGTTTAACCTTTGACATTCTAGGCTCAGAATTAACATCTGACACCTCCTGTCCTTAAAAGTTCTCATAAAAATGTGGATGATTTTTTTAAGCTTTGAATACAATGTAGCTACATAAGTATGTGACTTCTAACTCATGCCCTATAACTTTTAAACTCCTTTCATTTGGGAAACTAACCTGACAAAGCAAATTCCCTTCACCCAGTCTCAGAAACAGTTTATTTTCTATTTCGTTATAAAATTCTCCTCTGAGCTGAATAAGGTAAGCACTAATACAGTGCTTCAACACCAGCTTGGCACCACTCACCACATCTAGAAAGTTCTGAGTGTGTGTGTTCCACAAGGTATTTCTTAGGAAAAAAACCCCTGAGGTGGGGGCCTGGAGTGGAGAAAGAGGTGTGATGGCAGATGGATGGGCACCTACGTTCACGGGGCACAGATCACGTGCCCGGCAGTGTGCTGGTGCCTCATACAATTTTATCTCATTTAACCAGATTCTCATTATTACATCATACCATGGCTGCAAAACTAGTCTTAGAAAGATCTTGCGCTGCCTTTGAACAGCTTTTCCGGGAAAGATTCTGTTTGTGGCTAGAGCATTGCTCTTCCTCCGTCTCTTCTTTCCAGCACAGCCTGTGTTGTTGTAGATCTTCTCTCATCCAGCGTGGCCGTTAAGCTGGATGGATGCTTCCAGGGAGCCCCTTCTGAACTCATGTCATTGTGGATGTAAAAGTCCAAGTGAATCTGCAAGAAAATATTAGGATTAAGAAAAGAATTTAAAGGACCAGCTGAGTGGCTCAGTTGGTTAAGAGCTCGCTCAAAGGTTTGAGCTCTGAGCAACAGCGGTTCAAGTCCGGCCCGAGCTGAGCTGCCGCTGAGCTGCCAACAGGTGGCAGGATGGCTCAGCTAAAAAAAAAAAAAAGTAAAAAAAAATAAAGAAAAAAAAAGAATTTAAGGTTCCTTGACACAAAATTAACATAAAAGTCCATCATATTTCTATGGACCAGAAAACAGTTGGAAATAGGATTTTTAAATGTTTCCAGTTATAATAGCATAAAAATATGATGTCAGAATAAAGCCAACAAAAAGATCTCCTAACTATTTCAGGGCTCTGTATTCCATTCCACT